CAAATTTATAATTTTATGAAAATTTATTAATTTAAATATAAATAAGATATTTATTTATTTAGAAATATCAGAAAATGGCTTCTAGCTGCTTTAAGACAGCTCCTTTCTTAATATTAAAAAATAAATAAATATTAATAAAATTTTTAAAAAATAATTAAAATATATATAATTTATAAAAGTAATATTTAATTATTTAAAATACATCCAGTTGCTTTAAGACTGCCCTTTCTTAATATTGAAAAATAAATATTAAAATATAATTAAAATGATTTAAAGTAATTATTAATTTATAAATAGGATTTTAATAAAATAAATAGATAATATATTTATTATATATTTACATGACTAAATAATAAAATAATAATAATAATTAATATGACATATAAAAAATATAAACAAATAATTAATATTAATATAAAAAGTAATAAGACTTATAATTAAATAAAGGTATTAAAATTAATAGCTAAATATAACATTTTAAAATTAGATACCTAATTTATAAATAACTATTTAATATTTCAGTGACTAAACATGCAATTTTCCTATTTTTAATTTAGGGACTAAATTAAATATATATAAAATTCGAACATAAAATTAAAACAAATTAAAACATGATTTTTAAGATTAAAATAATAATTATTAAAATCATAATGGCTAATTCGGTTATTTTAGCTGAACTATATATAATTATGTAAAAGTCTAAATTATAAAGAAAATAAAATTCATAGACTGAATTAAAAAATTCGTAATTTAAAACCAGTGACTAAAATATAAATTTATGAACTTAAGATGGCTGCAGAAAAGGTTTTACCCTTATTAAATTACACAAAGGCCCATCCCCAGAACAACGTCGTTCGGGGAGGGGTATTTAACCCTGCACCGAATTACCTTAAGGCCATTTTTTTTCTTTTCTTCTTCCTCTCTTTCTCTCTAACTGAGAGAGTTTTTAAAACTCTCTCGCTTCTCTCTAGCTTCCCTCACCGGAGGGAAGCCGGTCACCGACCGGCAGCCGTCTGTTGCCGCTAATCCCACCGCCGACCACCGGACAAAACCCACCCTAAATCAAAGCCTCTATTTTTCTATACTCGAATCTAAAGTTATTTTGGCCTGAAATCTTACCAAAACGCGTAGATCTACCTCTGACGTTTTGGTTTCAACAGCGTAGGGAGGCTCCAAGGAGGAAAATCTCTCAGCTTTTCTCTTTTTATTTTATGTTTTTAGCTTGTTGTCGGATGTGGGTGTTTGTTTATTGTTCTCTATTTTTTTTCTTGGTTTCTGGTTGCTTGCTGTTGGTTTCGGATTCTTCCTCTCTGGTTGTTGTCTTTTCTTTTGTAGGTGAGATAGTTTTTATAACCATCTTCGGTGATGGCTTCAGACTGGGTAAAGAGGTTTCCTTCAGTGAGTCACCGAACTTGTGGTGAATCACCAAAAAATGGGGACATGTGTGCGGTTGTTGTTGTAGTAGGAAAGCTTCTGGAGTCTCCTGTTGGCGTCGTGAAGTGGCTGGAAGCAGAGGCGGCGCCGCGTGGCCCTAGGTTTATGATACCCTAGGGTTTTCATCTGGAGGCTTCTGGACCGTTGGATCTTATCAGATCCAACGGTGGATGATTGCTGGCGGCTGGGGCTGAGATATGAAACGGTGGCGGCGTTAGGGTTAGAAACTCTTAAATAGGTTCAGGGTTTCCATCTGATTTGGGTTTTGTATTTGGGCCAGTCTAATTTTGGTTGGGCCTGTTTGTTGGGCTATCTGTTTGGACCTGAAATGTAATAATAATATTTTTTAATAATAATAATAATAAATAATATAAAATAATAATAGTAATAAATAAAATAATAATAATAACAAATGGATGAAAAATTAGTATCTTCAATGTGTATATGTTTTAAAGATAAGAAGAACATGATAATATAAAAAGGAGAAACGATGATAACATATAAAAAGGTTATGAATGTAAATGATGATATGTGTGCCTAGGTATAACTAGTACATCAAAGAATATATAATTTGGTATGATACGTATATGTATGTATTTATGTTTTATAGGTATTATGAGTTTAATTAAATTACTATAATTCTATGAAGTGTGCATAGTAGTAATTAGAGTTGAGATTTCATATTTAAATGTTAATGCCTCACTAAGCTATAGACTTAGCGTGTGAATGTTTCACTCGTAGGTATGAGAAGTGGGAATAGAAGTAGCGAGGAGCAAGACAGGTCAATATTTTCCTTACGAGGATCATATCAGAAACATATTGAACATATGTATTTTGTTTATAGAGCTAGTTGGCATGTAGTTACAAGATTTTAAATTAAATATGCTCTGATCGTTTTAAAAAAACAATTTGATTGTAATTATTAATGTAAAGTACTCATTTCCTTAAATGATCACTACAAGAAATTTATATTATTGTGAAAAATTTTATTTTTGTCAAAATTAAATTTATCACTATTAGTAGTTTTTGGTGTAAAAATAAATAATCGTCGCGTTAGATTTAAAAAAGATATACAATTATTATAAAAAAAAGTTGTCACAACAAATAATGAGATTCATTTTTTTAGTACAAAACAGTGTTTGTTGTTACATATTTTAATTATAGTGATAAAATATATTGTCACAAATATTTACCTCTATATTTTTTTGCGCAAAAAAAAACATATGGTGATAAATTTTGTAACTATAAGTGTTAATAATTATTACAAAAAATAATGATATTCACGTTTTTGTGACAAATTATATTTGTAGTTATAAAGTTTAACTATAGTGATAGCATATATTGTCATGACTATTTTTCTCCACATTTTTGTTTCAAAAGTTGTATTGATAATTTTTATAATTATAATTTATAGTTATTTTTATAGAAAAAACTATCACATCAAATAATAAAATTCAAGTTTTTTGTAATAAATTATTTTTGTACTTATATATTTTTTTGTAACTATAAATGTTAATAATTATTAGAAAAAATATTGTCACAAAAAATAATGATATTCACGTTTTTGTGACAAATTATATTTGTAGTTATAAAGTTTAACTATAGTGATAGCATAAATTGTCATGACTATTTTTCTCCACTTTTTTATTTCAAAAGTTATATTGATAAATTTTATAATTATAATTTATAGTTATTTTTATAGCAAAATTATCACATCAAATAATAAAATTCAAGTCTTTTTATAATAAATTACTTTTGTACTTATATATATTTTTTGTAACTATAAGTGTTAATAATTATTAAAAAATAGTATCACAAAAAAAATGATATTCACGTTTTTGTGACAAATTATATTTATAGTTATAAAGTTTAACTATAGTGATAGCGTATATTGTCATGACTATTTTTCTCTACTTTTTTGTTTCAAAAGTTATATTGATAATTTTATAATTATAATTTATAGTTATTTTTATAGAAAAAATTATCACATCAAATAATAAAATTCAGGTTTTGTAATAAATTATTTTTGTACTTATATATGTTAATCATTATGAAAAATATATTATCAGAATCATTTCTCCATATATTTTAATGTAAAAAAATGTAATAGTACCAAAATATATGCTATAAAGATTTTTCTCCATTTTTTGCACCAAAAAAAATCATATAGTACAATTTTTGTAACTATAAGTGTTTATAATTATTACAAAAAATATTTCACAAAATAATGGTATTCACATTTTTGTGACAAATTATTTGTAGTTATAAATTTTATTACAACGATGACATATATTGTGATAAATATTTTTCTCCACTTTTTTTTTGTTTCAAGAATGATATTGATAAGTTTGTAATTAAAATTTAGTTATTGTATAGAAAAATTATCACATCAGATAATAAAATTTAAGTTTTTTATAATCAATTATTTTTGTAATTATATATTTTAATCATTATGAAAAATTATACTATGAGAACCATTTCTCCATATTTTTTGTGCCAAAATTGTTATATAATAAAAGTTTTATAGTTATTGTTATAGAAAAATTATAACAACAAAAAATATTTTTTTAATTAATAAATGATTTTAGTTATTTATGAAAAAAATATGCTTGTAGTTATACATTTTGATTATAATAAGAAAATATAATTATTATTATAAAAATAAAATGTTTAAAAATCAAATTTCTATGATATATATAATTTTATGGCATTTTTAAATAAAATATATTATCAAAATATTTTCATTTATTTTTTATGAAGCTAGTTTGAATTTTTTTTCTTAATTATAATTATGTAAATGATTTAATCAAGTAAATACTTTGAATAAAACAATATGTAAAATTGAACAAATTAAAAGTAATTTCATTTAGAAGGCATACAAATAATCGTAATTAATTAAATTAAATAAAATATTTTAATAAAATAATTGTCTCACATAAAATTATAAGTAATCATTTTCTTCCTCTTCGTCTTCATATCGGTAGTCGATATCTTCATTTTCACCACCAATACTACTATTGTTATTAGCACTATCATCATCTAACTCAATGATCATCAATTTTTTAATAAAAAATAATTTTAAAACATACGAATAATAAAATAATTATTTTATAATTTTTAATAATAAAAAATTCAATAAAATATATTTTATCATTATTAAAATATTTTATAAATTTTAACAGTAAAAAGAATTGCAACATACTATATAGTTGGTCTTTTTTATACTTTAACCCAAACAAAACCCTAGAAAAAAAAAACTGTGAACAACTCACAAAACGAAAGCAATATATCTTCCGCCTAATTCTTTCTCTTTAGACTATAATCAGTCCACGCGGCAGTTCCGTCGACTGCCCGTTTCGGAAATCGATCCTCCGTCAGGTGAATCGTGTAAATCTGGGTATATTTTTTATGGGTTCGGGCTGGATATTAAAACTAACGATTACAAGGTCGTGAGAATGGCGACGTTCAATAAAACTGACGATGAAGAGAACGAAAGTTACTATTTCGGTTAGGTTAAGTATATAGTTTAAAGAATAACTCTTAGAGGAAAAATCATTAAGCTTCCTTTTTATCTTCGGTTTATGTTCCAATTTTTCTATCATCTCTTGCATAGACGAGGCTATGGTGTGCTGGCCGGTGGGTTTTACATTGGGTGATGCCTCCAAGGATCGAATTCGGAATACGATTGTGGGTTTCGATCTCGGAACAGAAGAGTTAATCGAAGTGCCTCAACCTAATTGCGCTGATAAAAGCTATCTGTTGGATGTGGGTGTCTTGGAGGGACGCCTATGTGTTGTTTGTAATTATGACCAAGAGAAGATTGATGCTTGGGTTATGAAGGAATATGGGGTGAAAGGATCTTGGACTCCAACTGTTTGAAGCACTTCTTAAGATTGTCTTTTGCAACCGAGCCTTAGTTCAATTGACACTTTGCTGTTTGAGTAACTTGGAAAATATGGTTCTGTGTTTTGGTTTTTCAGGGATGATTTCCTTTCAAAAGGATTCAAATTGGTCTTATAATCAAAATGAAGAAAATATACAGTATGAGCAAAGTGCGGACGAAGTTAAATTGCGTCTTATCTATGAGTAACCAGTTCAGTTTTGCTTTATTTAATGTTTTCATTGAGGTTGAGTTTTATATTTCTGTGTTATTTTCTGAGCTTAGTCTTTTGTCTGTTGACTTTTATGTTTTTTTTTGGGATTAGAAATTGACTTAAATTTGTTATAACCATTTTTAGACAACTCTTGAAGCTTTGTATCTTCTTATCCTTCTCTCACAGTGGATCTCCAAAAGTTGACTTGGGAAGTCAAATACAATTGACATGAAACTGGGCTTTGGTATTTGGCAGAAAAAAGCTTGGACAATTCTCAAACTTTTGAATGATGCTATGTTTAACAGGGTTTTTTTTTTTAGTTTATAGAATGCTCAACTTGGGTCCATGTATTAATCTTGGTAGCTTTTATTGTGTGAGACATTTAGAAATCTCAACGATGTCTTGATTTGCTATTTTGATTCCTGCATCTGGACTTGATGGGTTTATATTTAGAGCCGAAGCAGATCGAAAAGTGTACCAATCTGATCCATTTTTCAAACAGCTGAGAAAGAGACCATTCCTTCGGCACAATCAGAAGTCTTCTTCACTCTTGACAACCAGCTTGCAATGGAAGAGTTTTTTTGGAGTTTTCATATTCTCGGATTTTGCTTCTTAGGAATTGAATGATTTAACATTATCCTTTCTACTAAAAGATGGATAGAGCTTTTATTCTCGGGGATGCCATCGAGTACATGAAGGAGCTTCTTCAAAGGATCAATGATCTGCGTAACGAATTGGAGTCGAACCCTGGTAGCTCTCCGCTCACACCTACACTTCCATCCTTTGACTCCTACTCCGGCTACCTTGCCCTGTCGTATCAAGGACGAATTTGCCCCAGTTCATTACCGAGTTCTAACGGGCAGCCAGCAAGGGTAAAAAGATGTCTTCACTTTTCTCTTATCGTATACCATTAGTGCATAATTGATTCCGACATGCTTGAGCACCATTTTATGTGTACATATATACGCATGTTTATGTAGGTTGAAGTTAGGCTGAGAGAATGAAAAGTTGTATGGGGTTTTCCCTTTGTCTTGAACTTCATTGTGACTAATGTGAGGATTATAGTTTATTTATTTAATCTAATGTTTGTGTGTGTTTCTGTTAATTTTTGTAGATTATTTACATGTTTGCTGTTTAAATTTTGGGTTTTATTTTTTTATTCTTTCACGTGATTGGACCTTTTATTATGACAAATTTAATAGTTATAATAACAAATTATAATAAATATTAATTTCTCAATATAAAAATTATGACAAAATATATTTCACAATAATCAATTATAACAAATTATTTAGTCACAATACATATTAAATTAGTCAAAATAAAATTTATGTTAAATTTATTCGTCTCAATATTTTCTCAAAATAAACAACTTTTGACAAATTTATTTAATCAAAATAAATTTATAACAATATTAATTTCTCATTATAAAAAAATTGTGACAAATAATATTTTTCACAATACAATTGTAACAAAATTATTTAGTCAGTAAAATATTTTAAAATATTTAGTGATGAATAAAAGTAGTAAGAAAATAAATTTGTTGTAATATGTATTTTTGTCACGAAAACCTTTTTTTAATGTTATAATTTAACTTAACTGTGACGAAATTTATATTTTTGTGATAAAATAATTATTTTATTTTAACAAATATTTTTTCTCCTTAAGTTACATTTAGTAACGAAATAGCAACTGCGATAAAATAATTTTTGTTGCCTTATGTATTTTCGTCACAAAAACCCTTTATATTTAATGTTTAAATATAAGTTAATTATGATAATATGTACTTCTCGTGACGAAATAGCTAATTGATTGTGACATATTTTATTGTGATAAGTTAATTATAGTAATGAAATTTCATTGTTACAATAAATATTATACAATGATAACAAATACAATTTTGTCACAATATACTTTACATGACAAGGTTGTTCTAACAAACATGGTAACAAATAAAATTTGTCAGAATAAATATATCGTGACAAATTTAGTACTTTTAGTGATAAATAATTTTGTTGAAATAATCGAAATTTCTTGTAGTGGATGAAATTAAGATTTTAATGGATTTGTAAAGAACAGAGTCTTGAAAAGTCAATGTGACACCTCGGACTTGGATCTGGGTCGGATACGGGTTGGGGGTGTTACAAGTTGAGTCTGATATTTATTGGACCTTATGAGTTTTTAAAAATGGTCAGACCAGTAGCTTATCAGTTAGCTTGGCCTCCTGATATGGACAAGATCCATAATGTTTTCACGTGTAGATGCTCAGGAGTACCGATCAAATCCGTCGCATATTATCACACCAGATGAAATAGAGACCTGACTAGATTTAACTTACAAAGAAGAACCAGTGTGGATCTTGGTTTGAGATAACAAAGAACTGCGTAACAAGAAGATTCCTCTAGTTAAAGTGTTTTGGCAAAATCATAAAGTAGAAGAACCTACTTGGGAAAAAGAGGACATAAGGAAGCAATATCCACACCTCTTCGCATTAGGTATGTCTTAAAATTCGAGGATGAATTTTCTTAAGGGGTGGAGAATTGTAATACCCCAAATATCGGGCCAGTGACTTTAGTAAAAGTATTTAAAATTTGGTGGGTTAATTTGAATAAATTGAAAAGTATATGGATTGATTTAGAAAATTGTGTTTAAGACTTATTGGTAAGAATGAAATAATGGAGAGGCATTATGGTCTTTTACAAGGATTAAATTCATTTCTTTAGACATATTTATTAAGTGATTAGGGAAAAAGGTTAAGTTTGGAAAAGTGGTTCTCTACTTTCTTCTTCTCATCCCTGTACCATCTATAACAAAGGTAAGATTTCTTCAAGTTGGTTTTTCCTTTCGTTTTTGGGTTGGTTTTGAAGCCTTAAGTGATATAGAGGCTTAAGGAAAGTTCAAGGATGATTAAAACTAAGATATTAGTGATTTATTACTGATTTAATAAAATGGGTTTTTAAGTGATTTGATTAAATATGATCAATTATTAGAGTTTAAAAGTATTTTTGACTTGTTAAAGAAGTAAATAAGAGATTTGGAGCCTTAGAAGTGAATGAAGACATTTGAAAATTTGGTGTGTTTTTTAGTTTTAAGTGTTCTTTGGAGATATTGGATATTATGTGATAAGTGATAATGAGTTTATGGCATGGTTAGAGATAAGAGTAATAGATTTAGGAGAAATTTGGGTAAAAATTGAAGTGAAATCCGTCAAATCTGGGTAAGGATTTCGGTACTGGAAGAATCGTACCGATACTATAAGGTTAAATTGGAGGAAAAGGGATGAATACGATGAACATTATCAATACTGATAAAAGTAGTATTGATACTGATGTGGAGGTATCGATACCAAGAGGAAGGTATCGATACTGTAATTGAAAAGTGGAATTCCATAATGTAAAAATGGTATCGATACTGAAGTGGTATCGGTACCATAAAAAAGAAGTATCGATACTATAGGAAGGGTACTGATACTATTCAGTCTGAAATTTTAAGTGGATGGTTTATTTCATTTAAGTAAATACGAATTTGTTAATAATTGATGCTACTACTGGAAATTACTGGTTGAGGGCTTTAATGGAAGAATTTATGACAAAGGTCCATTATGAACAAAAAGGAAAAATTAAGATGAATTTTAAAAGAATTCAGAAATAATGATACTATTGAGTATTAATATTTTGTATAAAATGTTAGTAAGAATACTAACATTGTATTTTATGTTGTATGTGTAATTATGGATGCTTGTGTAGATCGTGATCAAATTTGTGATACAAGCAAACACAAAGGCAAGGATTAAGTTTCAAAATAGTTGGACTATGTCAGTAAGGCATACCAGGTGAGTGTATATATTATGTACTTATATGATATAAGGATGACTTGTGATGAGTCAACCTCGAATGTTTTGATAAATGTATGTTTTATAGTATTTTGAAATATTTTCACAAAGTTTATGGAAATGAGTTTACGAATAATTTTAGAGTATGAACTGCTCTAAAATAAATGGATGAACTTTTATATTGTTTTAACAGTTATCGATGTTTCAGAAATAAATGTTTAATATGCAAATTTGACTTAAATACCCATTGAATGTGCATTGAGAGTCATAGGTGCACTTCAAAATACATTTGTGTATGATGGTTATTGATGATTATTGTTTAATGCATATGTTGCATTTTTTATTAGTATATGTGTACTTTCGGCACTATGTGTGCATCCATGGTATTCACAATGAGTTTGTGAATTACCATTTCGACATACATTTGTGTATGATGGTTATCGATCGATTTTGTTTAATGCATATGTTGCATTTTCGTATCAGTACTATATATACTTTCGACACTATGTGTGCATCCATGGAATTCATAATGAGTTTGTGAATTACCATTTCGACACTTAGGTACAACGCATGTACCTTGCATTCTCATTCAACATACATTAGGCAAATAAAAAGATACTTAGAAAAAAGGCCAGTTTTATGTATTATTATGATTTATACGATTTAATTCATATTTTTATATTTTATGATATACTTATGTTTTAATTTCACCTCATTTGTATTATTATGTCTCACTAAGTATATACTTAGCGTGTGTTGGTTTTACACGTAAGTAAAAGCCAAGATTAGAAGTAAAGAGTACAGAGCAACTCCAAGCATCAAGGAATATACTACAATATCAGTAAGACATCCTATGATGAAATTTTGACTCAGTTTAGTGGCATGTACTTATGAATGTCTACAGCTCTATTTAACTATGTTAGAAACTGGTTTGTAATAGATTAACTGAATCATTTTATGCTATTTTAAATATGGATAATATGAACCAATATTAATAATTTGAGTACACATGTTTAATATATATATATATATATATATTAAACATGTCTAGTAAACTATATTATTAAATTGTTTTATCTAAAGAAACAAAAACATTTTACTGGTTTTCAAGTATCGAAAATGTTTTAAAAGTCATGTGACATCTGTAACTTGTG